GTATATCTGTGTAAAAGCTTGAAATTGTCTTATGCAAATTAGGAAATTATTATTCAAGAATTAAAACCATATTAAAGGTAATCATGTATTTACATCCGAGCATCTGTGCACAAACTTGAAACTTTGAAATATGTCATATCAGTGGGAAAATTTCAACTGAAAACTAATCACAGTTCATCTCATTCCAGAGCATTCAGTAACCAAGTTTTACTGAAATCTGAGGAGTGCATGGTTCTTATGATATCACATGCATAGTTAACATTGTTAACTCATTGTGTACTCCAAAGTTACAGAAACAACAAAAATGATTTAAATAGTGATTAGAGCATGATGTCACTATAGGCTATTGCACTATGACGCCATTTCTTTTAGGTTTTTACCAACCAGCATGCAAATGTCTGTTAACAAATGTCACTCACTAATCGGTACTTAGTACGTGACCTGCTGTGACAATATCGCCGGTAATATAATGTTTTCAGTAAACGGAACACATACATGTATATTTAATAACTATGACAGCGAATAATGCTGTTATTTTATCTTCAGTACTGATTGACCAGTTTTTGCAAAACTGTTATTGCATGTGCGTGCAAAATGTAAACACGTGTGATGATCGACCTGTCTCATGTGTGCGCTTTATTATAAAACGTACATGCTGAGAATTAAGCCTTATCGGCGTTTCATATATATCTCCAATTGACCTGAATTTCACAGCGTTTCATAGTAAGTATCGATCACAAAATGGTTTCGATATAAAATCAATGAAATATTGATTTCGTTTTTAGAAATTCAAGTAACCTTGAAGTGGGAATTTAGTCCAAGTGCTGATAACAACACACGCTAAAAACTCATGGGTAGACGCTTGTTTGTAAACAAGCTATGGCCATCTGACGCATGCGTAGGTGACGGCTCCCCCAGCTTTAATATTTCTGTTAGAATTTTTTTTTAAGAGTAATAATTTTAGGTTTAAATGTCCTTATTTTATAGATCGCAAAATAACTTTTATATACATGATTGATATTAGTCAATGATTTGCTCCGGTACTACAAGAGTTTATTTTTAATCCTAACATTTCTCATAATGGCCAATAGAGGGCACAATTGAAAACAGTCAAACAGCCAATTGTCACCTATTTACATTGCATGTAAACAAAAATGTATTTTATATGTGTTGTATACGTGGCATGGGACCCATATTGACCAGGATGCATTGCAGCGACAGTAACCTTTAATAGTATGTTTTTTATGGCATAAATAATTGACATAATTAATAATTCATAAACATACATATAATTTATAAACAGACAATTCCTTAAAAACATATTTAAAACTCTGTGCACTTTTTAATCTAAACTGCAGCAATTTTCCATATTTTGAACAATTATTTAACTATAAAATTATAAAACAATAAGAAACATTCAAATGTATTTTATGAGAAAACTGCAGATTTGGTCATGAGCTTGAAGGATGAAGGAAACCATGGAAGCAGTACTCCTACACATGCAGCTGTATAACTTAACACAATGGACATCTGTACAAAAAGTTATTATGTTCATGATTAAACGAAAAACTCATGATCAGAAGAAAAACTCACAATAATTAAAGTACTATACTGCACATTAAAGTTTTATGCAAACAGAACTTAATTTCCTGTTCTTTTTTACAATTATGCATCGAACAGATGACTCTGTGTTTGATTGATTTTATTGGACGCTATAAATGGCGACAGTATTTCATTGCTCATACATTGTCAGGGTGGACGTTATTCACTGAATAGTAATGTCACTTAGCGGTGAGGCTCAGTCTGCAATGGCTGCTAGGCGACATAAATATTTCAGTCTAGAGCACTAAACACTTTGTAAAATTTTTGTCATGATTGAGAATTAATGAAAGCTGTGTTGCGTAGTTAGGAGAGAATTTGTATTCATAGAAATATTTCATGTTTCAGGTTGATCTGCTCAAAATGTTATAAATTTCTCTAGATTAGTTTTTAATTATAGCAATTATACTTGATGTTAATTACCGGTATATAGGTACAGTAGTTTAATAATTTTACTCATTGTGAAAATGTAAAAACTTGAAAATCATACGTACATTTTATATTATAGCGTCAAAAAAAAGAGAGGTACATGAAATTGTTATAATCAAACTGCCTGATAATTACCCATAAAGCTTTGCGTCAGATGGCCATAGTGTGTCATTGTTTACAAACAAGCATCTACCCATGAGCCTTTGCATTTTTACAGTGTGTTGTTATGTCGCTTGGAACTCAATTCCCGTGCATGCGCAGGTGACAACCTTCCCACTTTAATAATATCATTTAGAGTGACAATTTTTGACTTCTTATAACCTATCTGAAATATTCAGCATATTGATTTGACCACATTTGGTGTTTAATTTGCACCTGGTTTCCTTGGGAAAGATGTGCAAAAAATACAATATAATATAAATAAAAATAATATGTAGCAGGCAATGCCTGGAAAGCAAACTCAGTCGAGCAGTTTACTAAAAATTTACTAAACATAGAACTGACATAAACAATTAAAGCAAATTCTAGATGGCGCCACGTATGCTTAACATAAGAAGGTTAATTTTTAATTTTTTCCGCCATTACCAGAAAACAATTATCTAATTATCATTGAACAACATTTTGAAGATGCTTTATAATCATGAATGAGCTGTTTCGCTTCACAAATTTGTAAAATGTACAACAAAATGGCGCCACCCATTGACTAGAAGGCACCTTTTCAAACTCTTAGGGTATATAGATATCTTCCATTTTCTTCTACCGGTATATATACACATTGTCTATAGAGCTCGTTTCATGAGCGACCTTTGGCTGCTCTTTCTGTGTCACCATTACATCCGAATATGGGACATTTGTGCTCTTGTGCAATGAAAACATTTACCCTTCTTATGTTAAGCATTTGTCAACCGGTATATTTGGACACTAATATATAATGTTGATTTTCCCATGATGCACTACACAAGACGTGATGCTCCAGAATCGCATCGATATTTGCGGCATTGATACGTAATGCTCTCTATAGTCTGCGTATTTTAATAAGAATTTATAATCGCTCAAATTTGTTAATTTACCATTGAACAGCTCTAACAAACAACTGTATTATTCTTAACTCTTCCCAAATGCTGAACCCATTACATATTTGATAAAAACACTTAATCGGCTAAGTAATGCTGAAAATTCACAAAACATTCATTTTGTTGAACAAATTTAAAGTGTTTCTGCTATTAACAAGGACAGGTTTAAATGGCATTCAATTTTTCTTTACACGCAGTACTTATTAAGTGACGTCCCCTGGGCATATTGAAATAATTGCTTCTGTCAGCTGGACCATGAAAATAAATGTGAGGATTGATTTAAATTAATCCTGATGTAATATGTTTAATCTGTAATATCCATGTCATTAATTTTAATCTCGCAATCTAAAAATGGTTCATATACATTGAAATGATTGCGTTTCGTGAGTGATCGTGAATGATTGTATTGACTTTGGTAGCAAAGTATGTGTATTATTCATAGTAGACAACCCTGTGTTACCGGCAACTGTGTTAGACTAGAAATGTACTAGGATGTAGTATTAAGTGATATTACTATAATTATTACAATTAAAAGATAAGCTTCTATGACAGAGAATGAGAATTTTAATGTTCTCATAGCAACACTAAAGTTACGATTTTGTAATCAGTATTGCAGACTCATATTTCAAACATTCGGTTATTCCAACCATTTTTTTTTTCAGTCTCTGTATTATTATGGCTTATGACATTGAAAGTTGGATGAGACTCTTATTGTAATTTTATGTTCAATAACTATAATTATGCCCCCCCCCCCCACAGCAAACATTACTGGCTGTCTCATACTTCATACTTTTTTCACCCAAAGGTTCATTGCTTATAAAAATTTGCTCCCCCCCCCCCTCCCAAATTCAAACTTGGGAGATGAGCTCTATTTGAATGGCAGTGGTTGTTGCGACCGCATTGGATTGGCATGGGTCCCATACTACACATAGCAACGCTATGTACATATGAATCAAATACACTATCCATTTTAGACATTGAACTCATTCAAAAAGACACATTGCCATGACAACCTTAAAGTATAAAATACATATAAATTATTCAAATATAATGTGAATATTTTGTTTTCATCCAGAAATATCCACGTTTAAATTTCCCATAATATATGGATTTCCAATTAAACTATTACTTTGTCACACTTGAAAACACAAATTGTCCATGGTAATGTTAATGAAATTAAAATAATATGTCTTGTGATACAAAGGAGTTTAATTAGTTTCAAAATGTATGTGCAGTCATTCATCAAATTGGATATTTAGCATTGAGGGCGCTGTCTACTTTTTTTGGAATCAGTGATAGATGACATTTTTTTTTTCTGTTTTTTATAAGTACATTGTAGCAGTATTTTGTTTTAATGGGATTTACAATTAAATCTGCATGTATAGATCCTTCGGAATTTAGAAAATAAACGAATTTATATAATCAATCCGCATGTTGTAGGAGTTTCAGCATAATTCATGACAAGTTCTGCATCTACAGAGCCTATTGTGGGGGAGAAATTCTCATTGAATATAAAAATATATTTGATTCCCATGAATAACAATTCACATATTTTAGTCCATATCAATAGATTTGTGAATACTTTTACCATGGAAACCAATACATTCTCGCTAATATTGGTTAAAATAATGTCTGATAAATAAAGTTTTGCCAAACTGGGAATAAGTATCATTCTCAGTCTAGTTTTGTACTTTTTACCAAAAATGTATTTATGATGAAAATAATTTGCGAAAGTCAACGTAACAATGCATCTTTAGGATCCCGGTGACATTTTCACTGTACTAATTTACACAATTTTTACCAACTCGTGAAATTAAAAAAATTGCAAGTACTCAATAAGAATATTTTTTCTGTAAATTTAATTATTTTAATCTTAACATGATTTTTTTTTAATTTCAGGAGGATTTCCTTGCAACTGATGATCTGTTTGTGGAATATTTTAATTATTTTTTAGCACTTCCAGTAAGTAATGCATCTCTTCTTAAATCATCAATCTTTGTCTGGTATCTCATGCAATGGGGGGATTTGGGATTAAAGGCTTGAACCTAAGCACTCACGATGCAATGAACGATTTCTTTATTTCATCAAACACTTACACAAAATAAAGTACACAACATTCTAAATAAAGAAAGTAATTTTAATAAAAAACAAAAAACAAATTGTGTTTCTGATAACCTAAAACCTAACCATATTTTTGGTGAAATTATTTTATTTTGATGCAAATTAGTCATGTTTTACCCACAATTTTTGGTTTCTATGAGTTTCTATTGGTGTTGCACTTCTAATAAAATTATAAAGTATCTCCATATGTTCCATATGATGAACACAAATCTATCAGACTAACTGGAGTTCTTATTCTACACCTTAATATAATTCTTCTTTCAGACATTCCCAGAACCACTGTTTTTCAACAAGGAACGAGGTGGATTTGAAGTAGTCAGCTCAGCTAAAAAAGAGATCACAAACAAAATCCGTACTTTAGTCCAGCAATCCAAGAAACCTAGCCCCATTTACAGAGCTGCTACATTTGTTGCAAACGCCAAAAAGGTGTCCATTTACGATATTCATGCTTATGAAAGAACCGCTCAGGAACCAAGCGAAATAAAAACTAGCTTTACAGTACAGGTAAGTTACAGATACAGATAAATCCTCCTCCCTTCCTTTTGATTTTCTGTAAGTTTCTTTCCTTAAATATTACATGTTTATTGTTGTTTAAACAGACACTGCATAGTATTTATTTTGACATGCAGTACAAGACAGATGTGTGGTATACTGCCCTCTAGTGTCAGTGATCATAAACTTTTGTTTTTATGTAATTACTGTCACTTCTTTGTGTTGCTAAGGGCTCGCTCCTTCACTTAATAGCAGTGCATATTTTCTTCATATTTATTTAGATTACCCCGAAAAGAACAACAGCACTTTACAATTTATGTAGATAATTGATTTACACAATTGTTGATTTTAATGTTCCAAACAAATCAGTTAGGCCTATAACAAGTGGTGAATTTATTTTTTTAAATCAACTGACGGCGGCATCATATTTTTTTGGTGTTTTTTCAATCTGAAATTGTTCATTAAATTTATTTTCCAAAAAAAAACTTTTTTTTTTTCATCTTTCTAAAATTCTGACTAATGCACATGTTTTAGAAGGATGAATATAATATTAGCAAATTGTGACTAATTTGCATACATGTGGTAATTAGCCTATCAATCACTTTTAATTGTGTTCTTTGTAAATTTAAACATAGTAGTTTATGAGCAATGTCTCACACAAGTACTATATATTGCTTTTAAGACAGATATTCACATTTGTTTCAATTCTATATTTTGTCAAAATTTATATGAATTTTTATATATTTTTTTTATTAATTTTGAACCAAATGAACATAATTTCTCATTAGATAAAGATCTTGGGAAAAATCTTTGTAAAAAAATATGTAACAAAAATTATGCAAATTTTATTTAATGGTGACAAAAGTATATTTTAGCACTCAAAGGAATAAACCACTTTTTAAACATTATTTTTTCAGTAAAATAAGTTTTCATTTTCAAACTATCCAAAATATTTCTTTTCATTGAAAACAATTTTTCAGCAGAGCTCTTTTTCGAAATCAAGAGAATTCATCAGGTCAAAGACAAATAAATGTAGGTCTTGTTCAGAAGACAATCTCTCTAAGTGAAGACTTGTTGGGACAACCCAGAAATGAGCAATTCATGAGCATTTACAACAGTCCAACAGTTTATGTACATTTCAAGTGTGGGTTGCCAGTATTTAGATTTGTAAAAAAAAAGCATTTGATATTCATAAAAATGACTGTTTGTCCTGTATGTTTTTCAAGCAAAAATGTATAGTATAAATTGTTAAAATATTTGAAATTTAACTATTGTTATTTTTTTTCTACTCTGTTAGTGTCTTAATAAGGAGCAGGGTATACAATGGATCAAGATGGAGAGATTACCTGCTTTTTTAGCAAAGTGAAACTTATCTGGAATACAGATTAGCTAAACTTGTATCGCAGGCCGAGGTAAGTTATTTTTGTATTGATTGAATACTGCATTCCCAGATGCAACATGGCTCTAGAAGAACACACCACCCAGAACAACTCATCGCAACACAATAAACAGAACATGCTCAGAATTAGTTGTGTTCATTCAAATTTTATGAAAACAAAATCTATTTTAAATGTGGTGTATAAATTACAAAAATCTCACAATTATTACAAATACAAATAATATTGACCATTTTTTACCTTGCAACTCCCAGGTTTGAGCAGATTTCAAATTTTTCACCACCAGTTCTCTCTTTTCATCACAAATGCACAAAAAATAGTCCCGTTTATAGTTAGCACTTTCCTTCAGAATATTGGGACACAAAGAGCCAAATTTTTTGAGTGAAAACTGAAAATTTATTCAAATTTTGTCTGCCAGCTTCAAAATTAGGGGGCATTTCCAGAAATATTGAAAAATAGAAGAAAAAAATGCAGAAGAAATATGGCAAGAAATTCTAGTGGTTTAAAGATTAAGTGCCAAAGTCATCGTTCTGTGTTAGTGTTTTAAATAGATCTCACATATGACTGTAACACATAATTTTCACTGCAAGAAATGTTTTTCAATTTTATGACATTTTTAAAAGCAAAATTTTGCGAAAGTCACCAATACTTGTTTACTGCTACAAATTGTTGCATATTTCAGGGAATTTGTGTCGTGTATAAAAGTTGTTTGCAATGTATGTGAATACAATTGTTTGTTTACATAACCATTCTAATATGTCGTGCAAGATGACTGCGATGTTTTACGATTAACTGTTATTTTTTTTTCATTTTCTACCAAGCTTGCAAAAGATGGTGAAGAAGCAATTAGTTTATTCATAGATTCTGATTTCCGTCCATTTTCTATTGAAAAACCTGCTACGCCGGAGCCTGTTCATATTGACGAAACTGAGATAATCATGAAAGAGATGTTTGTTTGCATGGGAAATACCCAGACCACAAGCTCTGAAGAGTGGTTACGATGGCTAAGAATGCACGCAGAACAAACTTATCAAGTGCCTCTGGAACTAGACCATTATCTTCAGCGATGGAAGGAAGACAAAGCGTTGCAACTACCTTGAAACCGACAACGATAGACAGTGGAATATACACACCAAGCGTGTATGAGGGACCAAACTTGAGTGAATATGGGCTTCCTGATTATTCGCACCCCTCAGAGGACGGGGATATGTTGCACAGCCGTTTGTTTGATGACCCTCCTCGATTGAAAACACCACCAACCTTGAACTGGAAAGCCCCAACAGGCGACGATGTTTGTATGGTTGTGGAGGCGCCGACTACATCAGGATACACTGCGCCAGTTTTTTATGACCCCGACCAATCACAGGGGAAAACAAATGAAGCGTCAGAAGTGGACGAAGATGAGGGGAGGGGTTCAGAAATCGACAAGGACAGTAACATGGATGTTGCAGAGGCAAAAGATGAAATGTCACCACGTTCCATCACGGTGGAGAGCATAGATGATTTAGCTACGGTTGTAGTCGCTATGATCTTGAAACAAGCCATCTCTATAGCGTGCAAATCAGATGAAAAGGAAGTGGATTCGGTTATTGATAACAATGTACTAAAACAGTGTGGTGGTTTCAAAAGCCACAATTTAAAAATAGGAATGTTGGATGAAGTCACAGTTAAAGAAATTGAACGCAGTAGAGAGGAATCTATCAGGTTTAAGTTACCAGGTGACGAAGATGAACGTCACACACTTAAGAAGAAAGTCAGTATTACAAGTAAGTCCTCCTCCTCCATTGACCAAGAAGAGGACTCCTTATTTGGTAGTGATGTCGAAGACGAGACCGATCCATACTTCTCAAAACAGAAAACCTATAACTTATGTAATAGAAAAGGAATTGACGCATTTCGTAAATTCCTTGATGGAACTTCAGGGGAGAAGAATTGGAATTTTTGGTTAGATGTCGACAAGGCAAGAAGTATAGGTGAACAAGATGTATTATTGCAGTAAGTGATTATTATATAATCCTCAAAATTATCTTCAATTTTTTAGCTCCACTGTTGACTTTGTTGAGTGGAGCTTATCATATGAGTGATTGTCCGTCGTTGTCCGCCATCCGTCTTCCGCGTGAATTTTTACTTTTTTGTCTTCTTTTTAGAAACTACAAGTCTGAATGTTTTGATACTGGGTGTGTATGTACTTTGGGTAGACCTCTTCTAAATTTGTTCATTTCATGATGATATCTTCAATTCTGAAATGTTGGTGAATATTTTTGTAATTTTTGGTAAAAAGTGATATTTTCGGCTTCTTGTTGAAAATTGCAAGTCCGATTGCTTTGATATTACATATATAGGTACTACATGTGGAGCTCTTTCAGATTTGTTCATTTCGTGATGATATCTTCAATTCTCTAATTTTGGTGAATATTTTTGTAATTTTTGGTAAAAAGTAATATTTTTGACTTCTTGTTAAAAACCAAAAGTTCAATTGCTTTGATATTACACATATAGATACTACATATAGACCTCTCTCAGATTTGTTCATTTGATGATCATATCTTCAATTCTCTAATTTTAATGATTATTTTTTTCTATGTTGGTAAAAAGTGATATTTTTGAATTCTTGTTGAAAAACAGCAATTCCTTTGACTTTATGTTAAAAACCGCAAGTCTGATTGCTTTGATACCATACATATAGGTACCTCAGGTAAACCTCTCTCAGATTTGTTCATTTTCTAATGATATCTTCAGTTCTTTAATTGAAATGTGTATTACTAACAGCGGAGCTATCTCAGCCGAGAGGCTGCTTGTTTCAATTTATGTCATA